GTTAGCCGATTCCACTTATCTAGAAGCTTAGGGTAGTAGGAAGGTGGTAGGTATTTTCTCCTAAGTTCCTGTTTCATAGTCCTCCAATCGTTTATCAGATGTTCTCCGCGAGATTCACGCATGTTTTCCAAGTTGGTCCAGTAAAGGTTGGCTCGACCAGTGAGTTTCATTTCAGCGAATCTGGCTTTCTTCGCTTCAGAGATGTTGTACCATTTAAAGTAGCTATCCATCGATTTGAGCCAATCTAGGAAAACTTGAGGATCAAGGGTCCCGTCATATGTTGGGGCGTCAATCCTAATGTTTTTCAGTAATTGAGCGTCGTTGTCTCTCCAAGGGTTGTCGTTCCCTATGGGCTCTTGGTGGGGTCTTGGGTTATGTTGGTAATGGTCTTGAAGATGTCCGGGATCACGAGGTTGGTTATAATCGGGTCTGTTGCCCTCGCCATAAAGTGAGGGAGGTCTCGACGGTGTGTAGATTGCAGGGTTTCTCATACGCTCGATATTATCTAGTCGGTCACTAGTATGGCGTCTAAAGTCAGCTAAATCAGTTTGGTTGTTGCGGATCTGTTGTGTAACCGATCCCAATTGCCCCACTATGAGGTCTAAAGTCGCTTGCAAGTGCTCCGGGTCCATTGGTTAAGGTTGGGGAATGCTATGGGTGGTTTACTGGAGAGGGGCAGCAAGGAAATAGGTAAGTTAAAGCACTGAAAGGTTGCCAACTGAGGCTGAAACTGAGCGGACAGCAAACTACAGCAACTAGGAAAATTATTCTAAGTGTTCAGAGAGACTCCTATGGTGTGGACAGCACCTAGGACTTAAGTTAGAGACTCCCAACGGCCTATAAATACTGCAGGATTTTAAAAGGCAACAGTCAAACAAGTGCTTAGACTCCCTAACAGTGAAAAACAGCTGCAGGAAATGTGAGGACAGCAGGGTTACAACAAGGCGTAGTTGCTCTAAACACTTAAGAACCTTCCAATCAAAAGGCCAACACTAAGATGCTAGCTAATATGACCTAATTCAACTAGATGCTTGCAGGAAATGCAAAAACAGTAACAAAAACATTGAAATAAATTCTATCTAAGTAATGATATGCATGAAAGTTTTGAACAACCACAAGAACTAAACCCTAGGATGCTTTCTAAACATGTCAAGCATGGTAACCTGGCTCTGATATCAAAATGATGTGATGCATGGTTTGAGTTACACATGATTTAAGAAAAGAAAATTAATTAAAACTTAACCATTCATAATTTCATGGTTCAAATTCAAATCGGTTACAAGAGCTCGTAGAGTTCCTCTTTGCTTAGGCAAAAGAATTACAATAAAAGAAGATAGCCGGACGATTTAATCTAATACAAGGAAAATAATAACGTTAAAAACTAGTAACTTGAATCCCACAAGTAATAAAGAGTTGTTCACACCTTGAGACCTCTTTCTCTCTTTCCTACGAAGACTAGGTTGAGCGGCGGAAGATCGTCCAAGCTAGTAGTGAGGTTGCCACGAGGAGGGAGGAGCCAAGGAACGTCGCCGTAGAGGAGGAACTCGGAGGTGGAGGGGGCACGGTAGATCGACCTTTGATGATCCACGTGTAGACGGAGAAGTGGTCGTCGATGGACTCCACTAGCGTTGGTAGGATCCGGTCCAAGTATTCTTCGACGGTGTCGTCGAAGTCGAAGCCGACGTCGAAGAACGGCGATCGGAGGATATTAACTCTCCCTTGGTTGTCGTATTCAAACCCGAAGTTCCACTCGGGTTCCTCCATTAATCATTGAAGAGAGATATAAAGGTTGCCGCGAAGAATTCTCCAAAAAAAAGGAGATGGGTGGTCGGGGGGTTGGAGAGAAGAGGGGAAGCCGGCGGTAGAAAGGGTGAAAGGAGGAGCTTTTGGTTTTAGAAAACTGAAAAGATTTCAGTTTTAGAGAATTAAGAGGGAAAATTCTGAATTTCAAAACCTAATTCAATTGAGAGGGAGGACTCATTAGGCAAGAGATTAAATCTTGTCATACAGGGGGCCAGCGGCATGAGCATGAGGGGGGGAGAGAGATATGGGAGGGAAAACTGAAATAAATTTCAGTTTAAAGGAAAGAGGAGGAGGAGGTTTCTAATTGAAATCAATTTCTAATTTCAAATTAGAGGTGGGGAAATTAATTGCAATTAATGGGGGAGCCCATTAAGGTGCCGGCGGCATGTATAGAGGGGGAAGGGGATTTGGGAAAGAGGGAGAGGGGTTTCTAAGTATGGATGATGACTAAGCAAATTTTAAATCAATCCAATTCAATTAGAATTTGAAATTTTGGACTCATTCAAAACTTACCATAAGTGGACTTTCCAAATTTAGAAAGGATTTGAATTTGGAAATTCACATCCCAAGCAAGGTGGGGAGAGAGGGAGATGGGGGACGGATGGAGGTGGGGGAGTAGCCGGCAGCAAGATGGCCGGCCGGTGGGATTGGGGTGGCCGATGGGTGGGGTTCCAGGGTGGAGGCAAATGGATGAAGGGAGGAGCTACGGATGTGACCACCTAGAGAACTCACAAAGAGATCTCTTGCAAGAACTCACAAAGAGATCTTCTTGAACTCACAAAGAGAACAAAACAATAGAAAATCTTTTTATTCATCAATATCAATGCCTCATACAAGATACAAGAGCCCTTTAAATAGGCTCCACGTGACAACAAAATATAAAAGTCTAAAATGCCCTCTGGGCTACAAAAGCAAACTAATACCCTCATGGGTAAAATGGGAAAAACTGGAAAAGAAAATGCATAATACATAAAATGCTAGTGCAAATAAAATCAGTAGTGGAGGCTCTCCATCACGGCCGTCGATCTCCGATGTCGTCTCTGGTAGACTCGCCGAAACCTCCTGTCGATGACCTCATCACTTTGGAAGGGAGCTAGTTAATTTTATCATTCAAATTAGAATTATACAAGAGGAAGAAGAGGATCATATGGAGCTGATAAATCAAAATTCTGGAATGACTATTTCGGGATTAGTCATTAAAGCTGAGGCACAAGGAACATCTGATTCTCAGAACTGGAATTGGATCAAGAAGGCTAAGTTGAATGCTCGGGTGGAAGTGTTTTGGTGGAGATTGAGTAGAAATGCTGTCCCATCGCTTCAATTTTTATGCTATAGAAGATTACTATAGAATGCTAATTGTCCTAGGGGATGCAATGCAATTGAAGATGTGGAGCATATCATGTGTGGATGCTAGAAACTTAGAGAGGTAATACACCATCTAAACCAATGGGGTTTCAGAATTCTACTGTTTGATAAATTTGAGCACGGTATCAAATGGCTTGAAACTAATACTATGAAGAAAAGAATGATGGTTAACCTGTATTGCAATACAGTATTCCTTTCCTGAAAAAGTAGAAACAAGATGATTCATGAAGGTGTAGAGGATAATCCTAGTTTGATAGCTTCTAATGCTATTTGCCATGCTTCGGTCTCACATAACTTTAGTCAAAGTAATTTGGGCTTTTGGGATGTTAATCAGTCAATTAGACTGTCTAATACTTGGCATCCTCCTCCACCCAAATGGCTAAAGGTTAATGTTGATGCATCTCTTCTTTCTACAAAGCGGGGATTGCTGCAGTTTTCCGGGACTGCAAAGGGAGATTTCTTTTTGCTTATGGAAGAACTTGTGTTCATTGGGACATAGCTCAATTGGAGTTGCTAGCTATTCATTCTTTAAAGGAGGAGATCAAGGATTGGATGTTCAAATATAAATGAATTATTATTGAGGAGATAATTCAAATATCATTTCTTACTTTCAAAGAGCTTGGAAACAGGGAAGTTCAAGGATGAGGGTATGGAAATTCTTACAAACTTTAATTTTGTCATTTTCAATTGTATTAGTAGAGAAAGTAATAAATTAGCAAACTTATGTGCTAACTATGCTCTTTTCACTAGCTTTAGGTGGGATGATTTTTCGTTGAATAAGGTTCCTCCTTCATTCTTCAACACTTTGAAGGAGGATTCAAGCTTGTAGTTGTTTTTTTATTTTTATTAGTAATATAAGCTCCGGCTTTTTTTTTTTAAAAAAAAAAGCCCAACATGTATTAAGCTAAGCTCCATATGCCAAAACGGAGACTGATTTTTCCGCATAGGATTACACGATATTACAATATAACTTGCATTGGAATGCGTACCATATGTCCCTCTAAAAAAATTATGCTTTCAACTATTATCACCCAAATGAAGCGTCCTCTTGTAAAATCCATTCTGGGCACTAATACAACTGCAGGCAACATTCAAATATTTCAAAATACAAAACAAAAATAACAACGCAACAAAACTAATTTTGTGTTTCCTACAACTATAGACTTAGAAACTCTACATCAAACAAGGAATAGCTAATCATCCCTGCCAATCAGCATAATGCTGTCACCAGCGCTGCACTTACAGGCACAACATTCATTTAATTGCTATGTGGACTTTTGAAAATGTTTAAACTAGCTTATGTGGCATATTAGACAAGTTATTAGTGGAATGAAACAGAAAAGAGAATCCAGGGATGGGAAATATGCTTCACACAATATTAAAACCGTATATTATAAATAAAGGAATTTGCTAAAATAACCCTGCGGCTACAGTAAAGCCAATAAGCCATGTCTCTTTCAGAAATTGCCAATCATTGGGCCATGCTCTGTCAAAATGGGCCCTTCTGAACTAGGAAAACTTGCACAGCTGCCAATTGAAGGAGCCAAAAAGGGGTAGCAGAGATTAGATTGCTAATCACAATGTATGAGCGCTTACTGTACAGCATCTCCGTTAATATATAGAACTTAAAGAGTGCTGAATGCATTTATAATGAGCCGTTTTCACGACATCCTACCGTAGAAAATGCATCAAAATGTCACTATTTGATTTAGATTGTTATACATGCATAGTTGAGCAGGAGAGCTTAAAGGAAAGAAAAGTGTGGATGGAGATTTGATAAGAATAGATGGTCAAACTAGGTGTTAACTAGAATGATTTTGAACTAATGTCACCTTCTGTATGATCTCTTTTTCCAAGCAGCCAAATAGAATTGGAGGATCATCAGATGTAGTCAACTTTCCATCATCTTGCAACTCCAGGACAACCTGATCATTCATAATGCATGGTAATTACACAAAATTCCTAATATCATTTATAGCTCCAGGATAAGCTATTCACATGTAAAAGCCATTTTGATTAGGAAAAATAAACTTAAGAACATTGGCATTAGATGGTCCTCCAAAAACAATTTTCCAAAAACTGAAAAGCACAGGATACGCCTTATTATCATGCACTCGATTGCTTCAAAAGATTAATTAGCAATAAAAAAAACTGAATTGGAATAATATAAAGAGTATGACTACTACTTGCAAAGGAAACTCCTTCATACTTTTTCACAAATATATAGGGTTCTTCATCAGGAAAATATTTTACGTAGATAATCACTAAGCACATTGGTCCAAAATGGTCCAAACAGACAGTCTTATAAAAGAGAGAAATTTAGAACCTCAGGGTGCATGCCTCTCATAAAGAGGGAGGGAGGGGGGGGAGAGAGAGAGAGAGAGAGAGAGAAGTATTGTTGTAGGAGAGAGAATATATAAGAGAGTAGATGGGGAATAAATGATGATTTAAGGATTGTATTAATTTCAATTTAAGAATCCAAATAACATCCATCCTACTCCATTTATCAAAATAAGGGCTAATCAATTTAAATTAAAACTAAATAAAGATAAATAAAAAATCCTATCATCTAATTCAAATTAAAAAAATATATTATTCAACAAGAGCAGAATCCCATCTAGTTTTAATGAAAGCTAATCATAATTCCGAAGTAAAATAAAGGTAATTTTATGGTTTGTTATAATTTGGGTTCAGTCTGGATTTAAATCTAGTCATAAATATGGATTTAGGTACATCTACTGCTTCAATCAACCCATTCAGCATGTCTCTATGCCTACATGAAAAAAAAAATCCATAAAGGAATTTTCAATTGAATGTTTCGGCAGAAATTGAGAAAAGACGAGCAGAACTATTATACAAAATTCCCACAATCTAATTTTTCTGCATGGTACTCCCCATACAACGTAACATGAACAAGCCCAGTGACAATCATAGAGCACAGATGGGATTGTACTTAAGTAAGAAAACTATCATCTATAATATGAAATATTAATAAGTGAACATTAGGGAAATTACAAACTGAATATTTATACCTGCTGTTCAGCTGGAACATGTCCTTCGCTGTCAGTATCCAAAACATACTGGCTACAGAGTTCATCCTTCCATACAAGTGCCAAAGGAGTATTTCCAGTCTGATAGTGTGCATGCCTGAGAAAGCACATGAATTTGATTGAAAATAAAGTTAGAATTAAGAAATGACAATCTTCTAAATGGTATGCAGTTGTCATGCTGATGACTATAACCAATTAATGGCAAGCAGATGTAGCTGTGAAGACAGTAGTTATTGATAGCAGGATTAACCAGATTATTTTTTATTAAATCATAAAAGTATATTCAATGGTTTTAAAAAGAAAATTGCGCTACATACTAATGAAGAAGCAATGTTATAGACTGCTACTTCTAACCCAAAATAATACTACCGATAAATGCAGAGTTATTTAGTTCAACTACAAGGCTTTCAGTGAATTTTTACTTCGCATCAGATAAAGCTAAAATCAAGATTCTCCTGCTCAAAAACTAGAAGAGTATTACTCAAACATGCAAAACATCATACGTACAATTAGTGAGCAATTTAATAGAAATTAAGGAACAGAAACATCAAATATCCAAACTTTGAGTTTTTATGTAACATGCATGCTTGGCACATGAATATTATTTTTGTCTGTTTGTGTGTGAGCCTGAAAACACAGATATGCATGCATGTAAAATGCAACTTCACAAGCATTGATGTATAAAAGTAGAGATAACTACAAGAATAACCACTTACCTGTTGTAAAACAGTAGGCCATCTTTGACAAAAGCAAAGCCGCCTGTATATGCTTTATGCAAGCCAATCCGATTACAATCATAAATTGGTACGACGCTGAATCTATACCTATGGTATGTTGACGGAGGATTACAGGCCCCAGTCTCTGAAAGCTTTGAGTTCAACCAAAAGAATCTGAACTCGGCACTACAATCATATAATGAGTATCCTCGCCAACAAACCATATCAATCACGTAATATGTTTGATCAGGCTGCCAATTGACATCAACATCAATGGAAACTCAAGATAAATACATAATGTAATTAATGTCAACAAAGTTGAAGCGTTTTGACTATTTTAAGAGCTCACCTCATGAAATATGCAATCCAATATACAATAAACATGTGATGGAGCTGATATTTCTTTTGTCCTGGCACCATTAGGCAAGGAAGATGGAAAATGATGCAGAACAGAGCCATTACGAAGTCTGCTCACTGTAGAACCATTTGAAGAAACAACAAAGCAGCGCTTACCAGCAGGCCTTGCAAAGACGTACCTGTAGCATTTCATTTTTAGGAAATGTTTTGGATTCATATTGCTTAAAAGATAATCATGTGATTACAAGTATAAATAACTGATAATATGTTTGGAACGGTGCCAAGATTCATTTCAAAGTGAAAGAAACACAAAAGAACACTCCCATCGCACTCTAATGAAAACAGCTAGCAAATATTGGCCTTCAAGTGCAGTCTCTATACAAGATTATTAATATTCTGCCATCATATCATCAACTATAGTAGTCTCTATAATTTTTTTTTTCAATACCGATATCTTAATATACAACACTACCGTTGCCAGGTCCCACGTCCTGGATGAGAAAAGTGGAGGATTGCGTTAGCTAGTCGACAGCCAGCGTAAAACTTGTCGAATAATAATGACCGATATCTTAATATTCCAGAGTATTCAGTAGCATATAGCCTTCCCATAATTTTTTTTCCCTTTCCTTATAAATTACTGCACAATTGTCATATTTAGTGTTCTTACCATAGTTACGAAGGCACAAGTGCTGTCCTGTTAGATTGAGGTCAGGTGATGGAAGGCTTTTTTTTTTTTTATGTTTGATGTCATAATTTATTTAGGTGATGGAAGGCTTAAGCCTTAAGCAAGGTAAAGTCAAAAGATATGCTATTGTAAACTGAGATAAAATGAGGAATATTTGCTTCCATTTTAGCTTAAGCTCATTTTTACAACTCATCATGATGTCTTAATATTTCATAAAATTGAAGTGATTTACAATTATAAGAAATTAATTATGATTACAAATTAAATTATTACTATACCTTAATAAAGTATAACAAAAGGCAGCACCTAACCATAAAATATAAATTTTTAAGTACGTGAAGCTCAATTAAAATAACCAAATATTTCTACTTTCAATCAAATAATATCGTGTGAGATGGCCAAAAAGTGAGCACATGTTTGCTGCTCACAATCAAAAAGGTGACCAATGATGGAGGGGATTGTCAGTGCTCACAATGAAAGGAGTAACCAATTATTCATGTAAGGGGAAGACATGCTAGAGCTAGGAAGAGAAACGAATTAAGCAACAAATGGCAGCAGTTAAGCCAGGTTTCATTAGGCTTATTTTTTGAAGAGCTTACGCCTTAGACCAGCTAATGCTATGCTTAAGATCAACAAGTTTGACAAGTCCCTTAGAAAATATCCTCCATTGAGAACCTTTTTATCTTACAAAATTCAATATTTTTCTTCTCTGGATATTATATATTCTTTGTTGAGATACAACTAGCAAATTGTATTAAAAGAGTATGGAGCCTATCATGCTTTAAGACCTTTATCTTCACTCATCTTATCTTTTAGCATTATTTACTTAATTTATTCTATAGGCTTTACATACCATGTTCTTCCTATTCTGATGTAATCAAAAATTTGGGAGAGGGACCCTAATTTTTTATCACAAAAGAAGACCTTTCTAAGAAATAGAAAATGACATGAATTGCCAAAAAAGACACAAAATGTGACAATTGAACTAAAAAACAACTTTCATATTATAATAAACTATTACAACTTGGACACAAACAAACAACACAATAAAGACAACAACTTTCCTAAAACTGCTTGCCAAATGTTGAGAAGAAGGATACAGGTGGGTGGTCACTTGCGGAGAGAAGAAAGAGATTAGAAGCCAAGACGAAGGAGGAGAAGCTTGCAAGCTTTCCTAGAAGGAAGAAGAAGAGTTGGACAAAGCTCGCAAGCTTTTTCAAGCAAACCCGCAAATTATGACTTCCAAAAATCACATTTTCTCACTTCTTAAACAACCCAAAACATCTACTATTTATAGACATGAGAGAGGAATACAAATAGCCACAATGACCTCTCATATTCATAATATAAATGAGGGAAATGAAAAGCTAACAGTCAATTCCAGGAAACAAAACACCACAAGTCACGAAAAAGCCCCCCAAAAGTCACGGGAAAGCAGCACAGGTGGAACCCGAAGAAGCAACGGCAAGAACTAAGGAGGCAGCCGTGGGAACCAAGGAGCCAAGGCACGGGAACCCAAGAGCCATCCACGGGAAACAAATAACAAGGGGAAGGAGAAGAGACAAAATTAATGAGCTACTAATAAATTAATAAGTGAACTAAAAACATAGCTCATAATGAGCTAAATCTTAGTTCAATAAATGAACTAAAAACCAGCTCATAACGAGCAAAATCTTAGCTAAAAAATTAATGAGCTAGCAAGCTCAAGGGAAGTCAAAATCAAATTTTTTTGGGTTTGATTTGACCCCCCCCTTTGTCTACATCATATTCTTTCATCAGGTAAATAATACCCCCCTTTCGTACTCTCATCGTCAAGAAGTTTTTTTATTTCTTAATTTCTCTCTTTTTTTTTTTTTGCCATTATATAGGGAATGGTATTGACCACATATTTTAGATAGTTGATCTAATGATTTCCATTAAGCAAATTTTTTTTAAGTTTCCATTAAGTGATTTTATGGTTATGCTAGTTGTATAGCTACTAAAGGTTGACTCATGGATGCCTTAATGCACCAATGTGATCAAAGAGTAATTAAAGCATGTAGATGCTCAAAGATGATTCCAAACATTCCAAGAAAGCTTATACAAGGTTAATTGAGCCTTAAAGTTAGTGGAATTAATTAGAATGCTTAGGTGTGTTAATCTTATAATTTGTCTTATTAGTTCACACAAGTTAAGCTTAGTTTTACTTGAAAATCAAACAAAAAAAGTTTTTGAATTATTTGCTAAAAATTGAATTTTATGGTTATATATATATATATAATAACTACTTTATATAACTATAAATTATAATTTAATTTTTGGATCTGGAACCTTTTTTGAATAATTTTGATATGCAACTTTATATATTTAATTTACTTCTACATTAAATTGTATCCAAAATACCAAAATTCCCTCTATTTTTTCATTAGTTGTATTTATAAATTAGCTAAACAAAGAGATATAAGAAGTAAAGATTTAGTTCAAGCAATCTACATTTAGAATGAAGATTAAAAAAAATTTATAAAAGGAGATTCAACATAGGTGGATGAGGTATTTCAATAAATTTTTCAATAAAGGTTGTGAGAATACTATTAACTTTACCGACCTTAGCATCCTATATAAAAATAGGAATTTTTTATTTTTATCATCGTATTAATAAAATCGAAGTTAGAGAGGCTTTAAAAAAAATAAATGGTGAAAAACAATAGGATCTAATGATATTCCAATAAAAGTATGGAAATATTTAAAAGATCAAGGAATTTCTTAACTTACTAAACTTTCTAATATTATTTTGAAGACTTAAAAAATATTAGATGAATTATGAAGGAGTGTGTTAGTTCACATTTTTAAGAATAGAAGTGATGCACAAGAGTGTACGAATTATAGAGAAATTTAGTTATGTATCATACATTAAAATTATGGGCAAGAGTAATTGAGCATAGATTACAAGCTACCAATATTTCTCAAAATCAGTTTGGATTCATGTTAGTTACTATGAAAGCTATACATTTGTTGAAAGATTTAATGGAGAAGTAGAGAGAGAGTAAGAAGGATTCAGATATGATATTTATTGATTTAAAGAAAGCATATGACAAACTTCCGAGAGAAGTGCTCTGGAGAGTTTTAGAAAATAAAGAAGTTAATGCTTAAATTCAAGCCATTAAAAATATGTTTACAAGAGTTGTTAGATGTGTAAGCATTATTCTATTTTAGTTAGATTACATGAAAAATAAGCTTTAAGCCCATATCTTTTTGCATTAATCATGGATGTTATTACTAGACATTCGCAAGAGGATGCACCTTAATGTATGCATTTTGTTGATAGGACTAGAGAGGGAGTGGATGAAAAACTAGAATTATGAAGGCCAACCTTAAGAGTCAAAAAGTTTTCATTTGAGTAAATCTAAAACTGAATATATGGAATACAATTTTAGTAGTAATAGATCTAGTGCTCATTAGGAGTGCACTTTTAGATATCTCAGGTCTATTATTCAAAGCAACAGTTAAATAGATGAGAATATTATTAATATAATTCAAGTTAAATAGTTGAAATGGAGGAACGCATTGGGTCTATTGTATGATAGAAAAGTACCTCTCAAACTTAAGGAAAAATTTTTAAGATAATGAATAGACCTGCAATAATTTATGATGCAGAATTATACAGAATTATGGCTATTAAAAGTTAATCATAAACTTAAGTTAAAGAGTTACAAAGAAGTTGATGCTTAGGTAGATGAGTGGCTTTGCACATAGATTGAATGTGAAACAAGTATAAATTTTAAAAGGTTGGAGTAGCTCCAGCGGAAGATAAGACCAACGAAAGTCACCTTAAATGGTTTGCTCAAATAAAACGTCAACCTTCCAATGACTCTATTAGGAGAAAAGTTGTATTAGATCCGCGCAATGTTAAGAAAGATAGATGTAGATATAAAAAGAGTTTGTTAGAAAATAATTAAAATAACATTTTTCTATTATATTTAAATGAGAATTTGACTCTTAATATAACATAATGGAGAAAAAAGAATTCATGTATTTGATCCCGCATAGTGAAATAAAAACTTATTATTATTCTTGTTATAGTAGTTTCCCTTTATTGGACTCTATCCGAGAGCACCGAGCCATGTCCAGGGAATGCTAAGATTCCAATTTACTATTTTTCTGTCGCTCTATTTTCTAGCAACCAACCCTTCAAGTGAATCAATAAGATAATAAGGGGCTCAATAGCTTTTCTATGACTTGTAGCTCAAATACTTTGATTCCAATGTCTAGTTTAGGATCTCAACATTTTCCATAATATTGTAAAAAATTTATAACATCTTGCAATAGCTATATTGATTTCCTCAATTGTTAAAATAAGATTCTTCAAACCTAGGTTTTACAAAATCTGTTTGCCACTATTCTCTCTATACAACAAAACCGAAAAAAGTTTTTTTTTCCCTTCAAGCTCTATTGCAAGAGCTTCCACAGCATTTCTAAAATTTGAAATTGATTTACATTTGGTATGAGCTCTCTTAT